TATAATTTTTTTTTATTATTGTTACTTGGCTCAGAATCACAGTTGCAGAGTGGACAGAAATAAGTTGAAATAAACTATCATTTACCTTTCTTCTTGGGGAAAGTGAAGCCTAAATTAAGGCAGCCTCCCCTCCAAAAAGGACTTTATGTGGCTAATGTCGTTTCATAATCAATAACAATCAAGAGCAATTCTATGTGCTGGTTATCACCCATAAAGCCCTTCATGTTACAAATCCACATGATTGTGGGATCATTTGTCTCCCAATTATTTCTCCTTATCTTACTGGATCTGACAGTGGAGATAGGATTCTGGGTCTCCTTATGATGTAGCTGTCAACTCTGAAGCGAACCTGGCTGAAGCCATCTTTTGCTGCCTCACAGTTGCCATGAATCCTGAGAGGGGAAAGTAGATAGACTGGCTAACAGTCAAAACAAACATTTTCTTGTGGGAACCAAGGTCATCTTAACAGGTGGCAGTTGAAGGAGGAGAGGAGTGGTGACATCTGGGAGGGGGAACATTTGCTCTTTTAATTAGGGAAAAACCACATGAACTGTTAGAGTCGGTTTTCACTGGCTGTGCTGATATGATATATCCAATAAACATGTTCTTTGAGGAATCTACATGTCTCGGAGTTCTGCTTTTGGCAGACGTGTTACTCAGAAGGCTGACAGCAGCAGCATCTAATGGGAGTCAAGAGACATCGGTCTCTGTATGTACATGCCTTGTAGAACAGAGGTCTACAAAGTTAAAAGAACTGGTAGATTGACTACTTCTGCAATCTAAAGATTTCTCTTTGTAGAATTTCTCTTTCCTATGTTTCCAAGCAACTACTAATGCTGATGGAGGCAATTGCAAGTGGAGACTATTGACAAGCCCCACTCATCATTTTCAGGAAACTTTCAGACTACCATGTTGTAGAATATCTATGGAGATTCTCAATCATCGAGGTCATGATTGTCTCAAAAGTGCTTTTTTAAAAAAATTGTAACTGCACTTTTTATTTTTATTGAAGATGTTTCACTTCTCTTCTAAGAAACTTCACTTCTGAAGAAGTTCTAAATTGAATTTCTTGGATGAGGAGTGAAACGTTTTCAAGAAAAATCAAGAAAGTCCAGTTGCTTCTTGAAAACAATTTTGGCCATCTTCTAAGATAGCCACTTGTAACTGATAGAAACGTTAGATTCTTCAGAATAGAATTCTTTATTGGCCAAGTGTGATTGGACACACAAGGAATTTGTCTTTGGTGCATAAGCTCTCAGTGTATGTAAAGAAAAAATAAAATGCATTCATCAAGAATCATAAGATACAACACTTAGTGATAGTCATAGGTTACTAATAAACAATCAAATCATAGTAGGGAACAAATAAAACAATATAAATTGTAAAGATACAAGCAACATGGTTATAGTTATAAGTTGGAAGAGAAAGATAATAGGAAGGATGAGAAGAATAGTAATACAGTCTTACTTCCATCAAGTTGTCATTTCCTACCAATCATATGAATAGATTTTCTCTGTGTAGATCCGTCCCTAAGCTGGTTGTTCAGCTCTTCCAATGGTGCACCCTATTTATATGCCATTTTACAAAAGAACAATATAACAACCTACCTGAAAGAAATTAACATTTAAAAGACATAAAGGATCGCTGTGTAGATGTATAACACAAAACACAGCTCCTAGCTGCATTTCTCAATGAAATGCTTAATTTCTGGATTTTCTTGCAAAAGGGTCTTCCTCTGCATTTTGTAACCATGAAGCTGACCAAGATCTTTGATGTATATCATTTCAATTCCTATGTATCATTTTGATTGGCACCAGTTAAGCCAGCACTACCCAATTGTCTGGTTGCAAGTAAGACTCCACCAATGAAGGTCGTAGCATGTTGTTGACTGCGAAGTCACTTTTGAGGTGGGTTTAAGGATAACTCGCCACAGCCCACTCTCTGCAGCCAACTTGCCATGCATGGGAAAAGGCGAATTGGTGATGAATTTTGCAACTTTTACAACACAGTATTCTGTATAAAATATGAGGGGCTTATGCCTACTGCTTCCTCACATAGATCCGTGGGGGTAAACAACAAAAAGTATGATGATGATTATGTATTGGAATAATAAATTTCAGGAAAGAATTAACCAATTTGAGTATAGGTGATTCTCAAGTTACGACAGGTCTTTGAACGATTGTTCAAAACTACAACAGATCGTTCAAAATTACTTATGACCCTGTTTCAAAGTTACGTCTTCTGCAGAAACCACCTGGTTATTCATCCTTACAGCTAGAGAGATGCTGCAAGTATGTCCCTGTATTCCCTCTGTCCCATCCTGTCCTGCTGGGCCCCAGAGCATTGAACCTCCTTTGGCCCCCACCGGATTCTATACAATCCTCACCCCGCCCCACTCACTCACCTTGGAAGATCTCCAAAGTTCAACAGATGGGGAAGGGAAGGAGAACAGATTGCTCGGTTGTTGCACCATGTGGCAGAATTCCACAAATGGCACCTTTTTTGGACCCAGCTACCTGTGTAGCCTAGCAAAGCAACGAAGCAATCACCATCTTGCCTTGAAAAAGACCCTTAATTCACTAGCAGAAAAAGTCATTTCCCTTTTCTGACAGCATGTCTCTGTGTTTTGAAACCTGAGCCAGCTTTGCCGGTGCAGGGAGCGGAAGTCGGTTGTTGGCACAGCTCAGTAGCACGATCAGATTGCCTTGGGGAAAAAATCCACGATCGTGTGCAGTTTCGGTCTGGGCTCACCGCTGGAGCGCCCCAAGCCAGCTGGTTTCGGGGCTAAGCCACCCCGTAGAGGTGGTGAAGAGAGGGGAGACTGCCAACAGGGTTGAGGAGAGCCGCATCTCTCCTCCTCAGCTGGCCATTACTCCCTTTCCCGAAGGCAGTTGCAGTGGTGGTCAGAAATGGCCACCTCAAAGAAGAACTCAACCGGAAAAGAATGTGCAGGAGGAAGATAAGAAGTGAAAGTTCTGGCTGACCCGGTTAAATTGCAAAAGCAACAACTAAGGTACCCTGGAATTTAAACTTAAAAAAAAGTAACATCGTTCCCAAAGAAGATTCAGAAGCAGCGAAGGAAAGTGAAAAGGGAAAGGTTTGCCTTTTTTTTTTCTTCTCTCCCTTTCCCTATATTGACAACTAAGAGACTTAAATAAGAAATCAGGAAAAAAATCTGCTTTGACATCAACAGGCAATTAAGCTGAAAATAAAATAAAACGTCAAAGGGATAATAAAGATTTCTGGACATTAGAAAGTTTTTTATAAACAGGAAAGGAAAGAAAAAGAATAAAAGGGCAGGATCTGGAAAAAAAGGGAGGAGACTGCCTGGAATTAAAAGGAATCTACAGTAAAACTTCAACAAGACTTCTAAAAGATATATTTTAACTGAAACTTGGCAACTAAATTGTAGAACCCCAGGAAGAGAAAGCGAAAAAAAGCAAAAAGAAACAACTTGTATGTATTTAGATTACTTGGTGATCATTGGATTCTTGGTTATTGCATTTGAATGACTAAAATTAATCGGGTGGTTGTTTAAAAATTTATACAATGACACTGCTTCTGGATGAAGTGAAAATGGAACTTAAAAAAGTACAAAGAAGATGTACAAGAAGGGAGGGGTTCTTTTGGCTTCATTTTTCAATTCTTAGAAATGGAGATTTGGAACTATGAGAAACAAGAAACGTCTGCGCAACAAGAAGACTGGGACAAAGAAGAAGCCATCTTTAATGAACAAGCAATTTTATGTGGGGAAGAAAAAGGAAAGGGGGGAAAGAGAATGGAGAATTTAAGACTTTAAAAAACAACCAAAGAAAAGAAAAATGATTCGAAAAATAAGTATAATACTGGAAAGCAACAGAAAAGGGGAATACAGAAGAGAGAAAGAGAGGTAGAGAGACAAGGAGGTAAAAATGGGAGAGAGAAGAAGAGAGGGAAGAAGGAAAGGAAAAGAAGTTACAAAGGACAGAAACAAGATATAGAGAAAGAGCCTATTTGGAAATAATGGGTGAAAATTTAACTGAAAAAGGGATTCTGTAAAGGTACATAAGATTGTATTGTTATATTATTAGAAATAATTTTAGAAAATTGGAAACAATGTATGATTAGAATGAGGGATAAAAGAGTTACTGTAATCTTGTGAAATGTTTGTTAATAAAATAAATGAAATAAAATAAATGAGAGAATTGATAAAATAAATGAATTGATAAAATAATTGATAAAATAAATGAGAGAACTGATTAGTTAATGTTTTATAAAATATAAGTGGGGGGGATTAATTATGGAAAGCTTATAACTGTTCCCATAGAAGTATATTTAATTGAAAAGTAATGTTAAAGAAGTTAAGATTTTAATGAATATTAACATTAATGATAGAATTGAATTGGAATGGAATGTGTTGTTTTAACTACATATATTTATAATCCTTTTTTTTCTTTTTAAGAATATGGTATGTATTTGAAGAATGTACCAAGCAGAATGCAAATGGAAGTTATGTATTATATTGAATGTTATAACTTTAAGGTATATATTGAAGCTTAAATAAGAGTTAAATGGATAAAATTAAAAGATATAAAGGTGTCATACTCCAATCAGCAACTACAGGAGAAACTTGTAGGACAGACAAAAAGTATAAATATAATGATTTGAATTGAGATGAGATAATTAAAATAAAATTAAGAAAATTAAAAGAGGGGAGAAGCTATGTAGAAAACGTAAAACAGTAATAAGATATGGAATTGAACATAAAAATGAGCATGAAATTGAATTTGTGTCTGTACGAAGAAATGTAACCCAGGATCACGCTAGTTTCAAAAAAGATGTTTTATTTGTATTTCTTTGTGAAAACTCAAAATTTACACCCCCCCCCCCCCCAACAAAAAAAGATTTATAGGTTGCATCATTTCTAGAAATGAAACTAAGGACAATTTTTATTCAACATTCAATGTGAAAGGACTTTGGGACAGCAAAAATAACAATTGACAAACAACAAGACAAGTTTGTAAGGTGTTTAAAGTTCATTTTATTAACAATGTATCCCTTTGATAGGAAGATAATGCTTTAGGAGGCTTGTAATATCCATAGACATGAACTGTACACACTATACAAAACAAAACAATTTCCAAACCAATGAAAACAACAAAAAAGAATCAAGGTGAGCCGAACCTTTTTGGGACAAAGCCTTTTGAAAATTATATACAGCTCATGAAATTGTCATACAGAAAATATATAAATACTTTTTCTTTCTTTCTATGTTACAGGTATATAATATAAATCAGATTTCAAAGTTCATTCAATGACCTACAAACAATAGAACCTCCAAGTATGTAGCAGCTTGTTAACTTATATGGAAAATTGACCATACGGGATGGGGATAATGAGTCCTTTCATAATCTCTCCCCCCACCCACTCCAAATGACTAATTTACATAATTTCCAACCCAGGCATCATTTGGGTTATTGGCATTTATTATCTGAAGAGTATTTTCCCATTTTTCACAATAATCATATTTACAAATAGTGTCCCCCTCTCCCAGTTCTTGCATTCTGTGCTACTCTAACCTACGCAGTCGCAAAATGGCAGCAAGATACCGTTTTCTTTTTGGCATAAATTATATTTCCCCCCAAATTAAATAGTGTCTATTTTACAAGCAAGTCAGGCAAAAAAAAAGTGCACTTTCTGCATGCTGTAGCATTGCTATCCAGCTATTTTACAAAAATAGTCCTAAGGAAAACCACATTCTTTACTTTTTTCTGAAAGTAAAAAGTTAACAAAACGTGTAGCAAATCTGGAGTTTTAAGAATATACAGTAATCCTCACTAAAGTTCTAAAAAAAATCAAAATAAGGCTATCATTGTTAGATAATTTCTAACATGGATATGTATTAGAAACAGATGATTATTATTATACCTCCAAGCTGTGTAGCTTCCAAGGTATATTAATGGGGGGGGAACCTTATCCTTTTTCAGTGTCACATTACCTCATTCAAATGGCAAAACACACACACACACACACACACAAAATCAAAGGATAATTATGATTATTGCAAAAGAGATTATTCAAGGGAAGAAAGAATTATTAACATATTCAAGGCAAGATTCAACTTAAGCATTCCTAACCTTAGAAATGCTGTCGTTGGTTAGATTATGCCTCGTCTATCTGAAACTAATGTTCATGTTATAAACTGGTTATTAACTTTGCAAAGGCTTTGTTTTGTATCCTATATCACTTTTATGCTATATGTAATCTTTCCATGATACAAACTGTAACCCAATGCTTCCAACTATTGCACGTGAGGGTAGGGGATAAGGGATTCTGTCCACTATTATTGAGGATGATCAAGTTCAGGAAGCCTATTGAGCTGTGTGGCTAATCCTAATTACGTCATATCTGGAGAGCATTTTTTGTTGATTCACAATAGTTACTAGAACCTATTTAGTAAAGTAAGTTCCTAATGGTGCTTTTCAGGTAACAACTTAAATGCAATTGGTTCCAAAATGTATGGGTACAGATGAAATGACCCTGTGTGTGCTTGCAAATAGCTTTTATTTGACAAATATTAGAGGCCAACATATGCATTTTATGTCCCCACAGATGAATATCTAAATCTATCTTTTATTAATGTGATGTCTTTAGGTTCTTGACCTTGCTGTCGTTATAAAATGGGGCGTAGGATTATTCTGTGAGTGGAACATAAAAATGGAGCTTTTGTGACTCCTCCACAATCTGTGATCTGAAGGAATCTTGGGAATTATATGAAAAGTTGCAGTGGGAGAAGGGAATTAGTAGAAATTGGGTGCTTTGACATGAACAAAGACAAGATTCAATTCTATGCTTGTTTTGTAAGCTTATATTAAAATCAAGGTACTTCGGGATCTGTATCACAGGAGATGGAGATACTGAATGTGAAAAATCAATTGCAAGTTTGATTAATCACACTTGCTTATCCTTCCTCCCTTGGAATGCATCATAAGGAAGATAGAAAATAACAGTTATGCTTTGCCATTCGTAACTTGTTATCTCTTTCATTCTCCTCCCGCCATACATAAATACTCCAGATACAAATAATTGCCAGTGGCTGAGTGAAAGTGGGTGGGGAGAAACATAGCAAAACATAGCAACATGCTATGAGGGTCCATTCCAAAGCAGTCACAAGTATTAAATGTCTTTCCAAATTATTTCATCCTTTCAGTAATGAGAAAGAGCATTTAGATAGGATTTTTTTTCTACAGCATTTTTGGATTATGCCATCAATCCAAGCCTTTCAAAATGACAAGGATATCAGGGTTGTGTATCATTTGAAAATTAATTCCAAAAAAGTGCTGTGAACCCCATACACTTCCCAGTTCTTAATTAAAACTTCTCTGAGAGTCTTAAAAAAGAGAGCTGCTGCTGCTTTAATGTTAACTTTTAAAGCAGAACTTTGAAAGAAAACATAGCTGCTACCTTGCATGATGCTTACAAATGCTTCTGCCAAAATATTTGAAAGCATATACAGCCCTGATACCATTCCCATCATATTTGTAATCTATAATGCAAGTGTAGACTTCTTCCATGTTCTTCTGTATTTACTCCAAATTTTGGGTTTGGTGATCAAGGAGAAATTGCTTCAGAAAAGTACTTAAGCTGAAAGCAACCCATCACCCAATGGCAATCAAATGGGACTCCATAAACCTTTTCGTTCTACTTGCCAATTGCAAAAGCTGTTGATCTGTATGTAGCTTTATGGGTATAAATATGTTCATTAATGTAAGAAGTCAATGACTGATCATGTGACAATAAGTAAAACGAATTCATAATACATGAATTTCTACCCAGATTCCAGGTATATTCTGTTACAGCCAATTAATTAACAAAATAAGTATAACATCATATAGATACAATATTGGTTCAGATACTACAGCTATCATCGATTTGTATTTTAATGCAAAGACCCAAATTCACTTAATTTTTGATGATGCTGTTGCCCATACAGCTCAAGGTCAATTGATCTTGGGCAGTATTCTGAACAGAAGCCCAAAATCTATTTTTTTTAAATGTCAAAAAGTTATGTATACCTATGTATTATCTAAGTGGATATATTAGTACATTTAGCTGAATTTACTTTTTAATTTTCCCTGTAACTAAATTTTCCCTGTTTTTTCAGTAACAACTATAGTTGAAAGCTGAAATATCATTGTTTTAAAGAAGACCTTTTCATCTACTTTTGCCTTGGAATCAAATATGCAAAACACAGAATAAATGAATTAATTTCATTTAAGAGTTATCGATCTATAGATCTTAATACTCCATCATTATTGAGGTAGCATTCGTAACTACTATGTACAATCAACTATTTGCTTTTTTTTACTGGAAGTATTGTATGAATCCTTTGGAATTTACACCACCATTTGGTCTACACTGTGGCTGCCATTTTGGTTCTGCACAGGAGTGTTATCACAGGAGTTTCATTTATGAGCAAAGCATCTCTGAATATTGATGGAAAATTATTAATGAACCCTAATGAACGAGCTGAAGCCCTTCCTTTAATTTTTCCTGACCCATTTCTTCCCCTCCCTCTATTTTTTCCTCAGGAGGTTCTCATAGAAATCTGGGAACTACTGTAACTTCATGGCTCTCCAGATGTTCAATAAATTATTGTAATGCAATTTTGGCAAGCTGTCATAAGAGGAGAAGATGCTGAAATCTAGACTCTCAGTGGCACCCACTTCTCTCTGGGTTATATCTGCTCCTAACATAAACTTTATTCCATGGTTCAGAAACAAAAACCACATGGACAGGAAGCAGAGAGTGCCCCATTCCCTCTTGCAGTCTCTAAACTAAAAACCTGAAAGAACAGAAACTACAAAAAATAAAATAAAAACCCCACCAACTTAAAATACTGTATTTAAAGAGATATTTCAAACCTGAGAATGAAATATTTGAAATTTCTCCAAGTGCTCCTTTTCTCAGTTGCTCAGTTTCTAAATGGTCACTAAAGTAGAGAAATAATAAGAATATTCTCAATAGACACTCAAATTTCATGTTTAGAAATGTAACAGCAAAACATTATTAACTCTCCTTAAGATTCTTCAGCTCTGGCCATGAATGGTAAAACTCCTTATGACAGTTCTCTAGGTTATCCATACTGCATTGTCTATGTACCAAAGTAACATACTCCAATACCTTAAAGAGAATTAGACTGACTCAATTATTCTGACGTATCTCCCACCTAGAATGTTCAAAGCAGTATAATGAGGTAATGTAAACTTCTGCTTGGAGGTAGAAGGCATGTATTTCCTTAAAAGGTCTTAGGAAGAGGAAGAAAATGTTTCATCCATAATAACTGTGTCCCATATTCTTAGAATGCCTTTATCTGGTTTGCGGGTTCTTAGCTATTGAATAACTTGCTGTTGAGATAAGTTAGAAGCTACAATATGAATTAGCGTAAGTCACATATCTTAGAGGTAACTTTCTTTTGGGAATTATAGATATGGATCAGAGTGAACTGACTCTCTGGTTCAGGCCAGTATCTTCATTCAGTTTTCTATTTCTCTAGAAAAATGCTATCCTGGAAAGTATCCCATACAGCAGTACTTAAATTTGTGGATCAGTTAATATAGTTCCGGCCAAAATGGCAGGAAGAGAATCTCAGGTTTATTCTAAGAATTCGGGGATTGGTGCCTAATTCTTGCAAGGAGATTTTTTTTTAAAAAAAGTGATCTAATGCCTTAATCTCCAGATGTCTTACCTGGCCATTTCAGGATGGCAGGGAAAAAAACTTGTTTTCAGCTTTATGTGTAATGAACTATCTCCCGGCTCTTCAACTTTGAGATTTTACTTCAACTATGATTACTAGTCCTGAAGATTCAATTTACATATAAACTCTTGCTTCATCTTTCTTAGCCAACAGTATGACTGTAATGACGGTGTTTGCTTTCTTTTAGAACTGGAGAACAAACTCATTTTGATATGACAATGTACTGAACCTAGACATTGCTAGATTTCGTAACAAATGTAAATTTATATATGCCTCTAAGAACAAATTCATATATATATATATATGCATGTTAATTAGGCTCAGTTAAAATATATGTGTAAAACTGAGCTAATTTCATCTAAACAAGCAAATCTTTGCACACTTGTCAGGGGAGATAAACTTTGATGGACATATTCCCAGTACAGTCTACCTGAATTATTTCCATACACAAGAAATGACCAAATAATGCTACAGGTTTTGTAAACAAAGCAATTATACATTTGTTATGTACAGGTAAAAGTCATTTGATTCTAAAAGAGACTTTTCAATTCAATTTGTTTCAATCTCATACTTGCATAAATTAGAGATTGGAGATAATTGAACTACATACCATCACTATTACACAATTTGTGCTAATTTTACCAAAGACACCTCTGAATTATAGCAATGTAGCACTTCAACACTGCATGTTTAAGGCTTTTCACTACAATTATTGGTATTATCTTGCCATTAATCTTTTGTCTGTGTGATTGAAGCATATGATTAGGAGCAAATTTAAAGCCATGGAATGTGAAATTATTATTTTGCATTTTTCTTGATAAAAAGCAGCAATAAGCAATAATTTTACTTGATTTACCTGACATAAATTATTATTTTTGAAGATCTACTTTAGATATTCAGTGAATTACTGGATGAACATTAATGTAGAACACCCCATTACAATGCATGCATTACATGGAGGGGAATTGTGGTTTTTTTTTTTCTAAACTCAAACTGTAGTGAAATTCATTAATTGGTTCAGTTTAACATAATTACATGAAACTGCAACAAAACTGGACAGATTGCTAATATTATAACAATAAAATAAGTTAAGGTTACTCCCAAACCTACTGAAGATTCTCTGAGAGCAGAAATTGTCCAAGTAGTATTCACAAAAATTAAGAAATATATCAAGGAAATCCCCTAATTAATTCCCGATGTCATGGTTATAGCATTCTCCATTGATGACAATGGGATACAGCTTAAGATACCATGTCTCTCAAATCCAGGGTAAACAAGCAAGGCATCAACTGTCCAAAACGGAAGTCAAAAGTCAACCATGTAAACCAGGTCCCGTGTAATTTGTCCTCTATTTTTGTGACATTGCATTTAAAAATAAGTGAAATGAAAACCTGCATAAGTGTCTGGTGCTTCATTCTTCTTGCATATCTTGTTACTTTCACTGTTTTAACAATTCCCCCTCAGGGCTCAGATGGCTTTGGAAGCAAGTTCCATCGAAGAAAAATTCTACAACTGAGCATCCAATTTTATGTACCAGAATTCCTGGAACAATTCAGAAGATGGTACTTCTCGGTTGCCCAGTCAGTTAGGTGTTATTGAACGCTACTAGTAACTTCACATTTATCACATCATGGAAAACAAGAGGTCAGGATTCAGTTGATGGGTTATCTGTTTGTTGATTTGACAGCGAGACTAAAATAGCTTCTGCTTCTTCATGCATCTAGAAGAAAATAGCAGGTACAGAGTTTTCAAGGCAACTTATATGGGGCACCAATTCGGTGCCTCCTTTCCCCAGAGGTCATTAGATTTTTATTCTACTCACCTGCAAAAACTGTACATCTTGAAAGAGTTCTTGAATGAACCGTCTAGATGGCAATCGAAAAGTGCAGTGAGCTAGCAAGTAGGATACTTCAGAGTAAAGGCATATGTCATCAAATGCTTGGGGAAACTTCTCTTTAATTCTGGACCATAAAGAACAAGGAAGCATATTTTAAAAATGTTCCATCAAACTTGAGACATGGACCTGATATTTAAGCAAATCTTGAGAAATAAGCATTTTAAATAAAATATGAAAAAGTACACAATGCAAATAATTTAGGTTCATTAACTAAAGCTTAAGGAACCTAATCTAAATACAGTTAGTCCTTGAATTAGGGCCACAATTGAGCTCCAAATTTATGTTGCTAAGTGCTAAGTTCACATGACTCTGGGACAATTGCAACTATCATAAATATGAGTCAGCTGCCAAGCGTCTGAATTTTGATCACATGATTATGGGGATGCTGCAATAGTCGTAAGAGTGAAAGGCAGTCATAAGCCACTTTTTTCAGTGCCATTGTAACTTTGAACAGTCACTAAATGAGCTGTTATAGGTCGAGGATTACCTATATAGGGTGTTCTTGACATATGACTTGACATATTGATGGTTCAAATTAACAACAGCCTCAGAAAGTATGCTTTATGATCTGTAAAATACTTCCAACTATTACTTCCAACCTTTCCCCCCTCCACAGTCATATGATCACAACCTGGTGCTTGGCAACCTTGTTTTCACTTAGCCCAGTTGCCATGACCACCCATGATTATGTGATTGCCATCTGCAATCTTCTTTGCTAGTTTCCTCAGAAAGCTGGCAGGGAAAGCTGCAATCTGCTGCCACTTACTGATACACTTCTCTCTTGTCTCTGGGGGCTGAATAAAAAGGCTGCCTGCCAAAGGATTTCAGCTCTAGGCACTGAGGGGAGCTGAAAACTTTTACTAGACTGCAGGAGTTATAATGCCATTCCTGCAGCCTGTTGAAGGATTTTATCACCCCTCTGTGCCTAGGGCTGAAATCCTTTGGCAGGCTGCAGGAAGAGATGAAAGTTTCCAGTTTCTAGCCTGATCCCTTAACCAGTACACCAAACTGGGCCACAGACCGATAATGCTGCATCAAAATCTGAAATGAATTTCATATGCAGGTAACATGCATCTCAAGTAGATGAAAACAGAGCTGGAATTTAGCAGATATGTGTTTTTCAAGACTTATATGATGAAACTTTAACATAGATTTCAACTACTGCAATTTGACTCACAAATTAATGTATATTATTAATATCTGCTTATTCTGAAATTAGATCATCAATAAGTTTCACTGAAAATGATGTGGGGAAAATTGTGAAGAAATAATGTGCCATAATTTCATAAATTTTCCCCCAAAGAAATCTCTCCCAGTTGCCAAATAATTCAAATTTGGACAAATGAGTGAAAAGAAGTAGAAAAATGGGCATACTCCTCAGCAATTCCTTGCATGTATAAGTGTGTATATATAAAGAATGTGAACTGAATTTGTGTGCAGTAAGTGAACAATTCCATTCCCAATTCAAAGATAAAAGGAATATTACTTATAAAAGCTAAAAACAATGGGAGAAGTTTCACTTACGTCAAGAGACCTGTTTCATGACCTTTAGTTCCTACTGAGCTACTCAAGTTGATTACTAATCGCAAAACTTCCTTTCTCAATAGTATGCGGCATACGGGAGTATCATCTGGGATTGATTTCATGCCTAGAAAAAAAGAAATTTAACAGTATGATAAACGGAAACAGTTTTTGTACTGCCTGAAATATCACTGGTTAACATTGACGAAGTCTGTTATGTATTTTAAAGATGCAGAGCAATGGGCATAAAAGCAATTGTCAAGTACAAATCTTATTTCTTCTGGTTCAAGTGGGCATACTTACGCATAAGGGACTGTGGAAAAACAAGCAGAATGATCTAAATCCCAATCAAAAGCCCAAACCATATATAGCTCTTCCCAAATAGGAATGAACGATTCTGGAGGTGGCTATTGGATTAGGAAAAGACCCCACCTTTCCCGCATGCTCCATGTTTCTCTCCTCCCCCATCTTTTAACGATATTTATTATTGCTGCTATTTATTATTTTAATGTATACTAGTTTTAATATTTGTAAGCTGCCTAGGGTCACCTCTTGTTCTGACCCAGCCAGGTTCCCAGAGAGCAAACACCAGACATACTCAGTAACTCAAATCTTTATAGCTTTAATCTAGAAATAAACTTCTTTGTAGATAAAAGATGGCTTGAAGCCAATTAGTCCCACCAGAAAAGCCTTGAGAGAATTCTTCAGATAAGCCAGCATCTCTGCACACAATGCTGGGTCCTTAGAGCTTCTTAGAACGTTTTTGCCTTCTACAGAGCAAAAACCCTTTGAAACCAGGCTTATATTCTTTGGAGGGAGGGGCCATTAATTAGCATTCTTACTCCCAAGTCACCTGTGCTGCTCTTCTTTGAATCATCCTGCGCTCACTCGCACTGAGCACAGGCTCCTCAGGAACCTCCTCCTCACTGCTGCCAGCTAACCACAACACCTCTGACAAGAAGTGTGGCACATAATTTTAATAAATAAATAAATAAATATTGGGAAAAGATAAAAGCAGAAATTGTACAAAAAAAGGAAAGTTAGTAATGCCTGGATGATCAATAATAATATTGATTATTCTGGTGTTAAGAAGCAGGGTGCAAAGCTGGGATTTCTGATGAAAGCATCCAACAGCCAAGCAACAAGAAGCATCAGAAGCAACCTTTGTGAAAAATAACTCACCTATGATGAGATCAGAACTCTTGGTACTACTAGCTGATCCATGGGATACAGCATCACTACATCCTGAAATTCCAGAAAACTTCGAGGAATGTGAAACCACATCCAAATGATTATGCATAGCCTTTCCACACCAGTCTGAATAAGGAATGTCTGAAAATTCTGATAAAGTTTGATATAAGATAGATGGAATAATTTACATAGAAAAAAAATCCATCATGATATACATAATTTACATAGAAAGAAAAAAAACCCAACATGATACGGAACTGAATAACTTAGAAACAATCCAACCAAATATGAACTTACTATTTTGATAATAATGCACTAATAAAGGAAAAGTATTGTGATGATGAATTTATGAGGCAGGCCCTACGGGCCTCAAAACAACAATAACAATGGGAAAGGTTAGTTTCCACAGGATTTGCCACCCTGAGAAGTTAAACATTCAACGAAGATTTCCAGCTTTCAAGATTATGAAATAAATTTTGGAATTCTATCTGAAGCAGCATCAGAAAATGGAAACAGAATAGACAGAGCTTCAGTCTTCTTATTACTGCAGATCAGATTCAAGTTGTCTATCTGATAGCACTAACCTAGGTGACTATATGCAGAGTTCAGTTTGTTATTGTGTTGACATTCGAGGATGTGTGTACAAACACAATAGAGACAATTATCTTCAGTGTGTTCTTGGAGTCCAGTGTCTTCCATGTTTTCTAGGAACTGGGAGGCATCTGAACGACTTGTGTTCATAATCTCTGTAAGACTTATCTGCTGACGAAGCATCTGGAAGGGACTCTTTACAAGCTCAGCAGACTCACATGGCAAACCTGGAAGCATTTGGTTAAGCAACAGAAAATAGAACATAATGGAACAATACAATAGCACCTTCTGCAATTAATTGCCCAGAGTTGCTTCAAAATGAAGCAATATCCGGGCATGCAACAAAAGTACTTCCTAACGGCAAGCCTCCCCTGCCATTCCTCCCCATTTTGCATGTGTAATATGGGCCTTAATTTGGGGGGAAGGGCTTAATTTGATTTTATGCCAATAAATCATCCTGGGGCTTCCTATTGGTGGAGGCCATATTGTTGGAGAAACACGGTAACATAAACCTGACTTTATGAGATATGCAAAATTAAGATGCTATGAAATAATGTCCTACCATAGATTACCTCCCTATATCTCATTTTTTATTTGTACGAAGATACTTTCCTTTGAATGTAAGGCACAATATAAGGCACAATGCTTTGGATATACTCTCAGAAGTGAGAGACCTGGAATCTGTGCTATGAAACATGACCTTCGTATTTCAGATCACAGGGCTTAGAAATCAGCAGTTGGGAATAAACCCTTTCTTCCTAAAGAAGGAGGTATAGAGCTTAGGAAAAGTGGCAGGCAACCATGTAAGCCAAAAGAGAATAGAAAGCATACCTGAAGCATCCTGGGCAAAGACTCGAGTGCCCCGATCATCATATGAAATCATAGTTTTCTTCTGGAAATAGGGGGTTTCTTTTACCTAAAATATTTTAAGACAAAAAGTTATGCAGATCAAGTTTTTAAAATAGTCATTATTTCTGGAAATACCAGGTAGCGCTAGTGTGAAGTATTTAATATTCAGCAATATTCCTATAAGTGAAATAAACTGCACTATGTTCTCTATATATTGCTCAGAGTGAAATTAAATGTTTCATGTAGAATAGCAACACAGTGCTTAATGTGACTAATTCCCTCACTTAAGATAAAAATATGGTCCACATACCTGAAATATCTCATTGATGTCAACCGGGAGAGCAAGTCCAATGTAATCGTCTGAGCTACCATAGGTAGCATTAGACACCATGGAACGAACAGAAGAAGAACGCTGCAGTGTATTTTGGTTTATAGGGCTTAATAAATCTTCTTTATCTAAGGATGATGCGTAGCTCAAAGCTCTCATGAACCTGTAACATGCAGAAGGAGCATATTGGAATAGCACCCATGGTTTTATTATAATGAGTACTATATTTTAAAATACCATGGCTAATTTTACTTCAAGTACCAGTTTGGTGTAGTGGTTAAGGCACCAAGCTAGAACCAGAAGGCCATGAGTTTTAATCCTGCCTTAGATATAAAACCAGCTTGGTGATCTTGTCATTCTCTCCCAGCCCTAGGAAGAAGAAAATGGCATGACGCTTCCAAAAATCTCTCCCAGCCCTAGGAAGAAGAAAATGGCATGACACTTCCAAAAATCTTGCCAAGATAATTGCAGGGACTAGTTCAGGCAGTCACCAGGATTTGAAGGATCATCCCAAAAATACAAAATCACAATATAGTGCTTAATATTTATCTGGTCTTGATTAAATAAAATAGATTTCTGATGCTTCCTGAATTTGAATGATATCATGCTATCCATTATAAGCTGGAAGCGTTAGTGGCATGAAAAGGAGGGTGGGTGTCAAATCAGAAAAGATGGGTGATATTAGCAGCACAAACCAAGACACACTCCTTTTGTGTGTGACTTTAGAGGCTACTAACACCTCTAAAAACAAGATAGCAATAGCAAAAGCACTTAGATTTATATCCTGCTTCACAGTGCTTTACAGCCCTCTCTAAGAGGTTTAGAGTCAGCATATTGCCTCCAACAATCTGGGTCCTCAGATGGTCAGAGAATAGCTAAATGTAAAATTATATGAAAACTGTTAATTCTCTTGAATATGAATGAGCAAGACCATTCAGATTAGAGCAATTTCAGGTCCCTTTTAACTATAAACCTCTAATTTTTCCAGAAATGTTCAGGAAATGGATAGCAGCCGTACCTTCAAGGACTTCATACTCCTAGATAATCAGTTTAATTGCAAGCAAGAAATGCAGCATACACATACATGAGATTTACTAACTACCAAACACAGAAATCAACCCCCTAGATGTTTAAATCTTAACACCTTTTCTTTTCATCATTTTAAACCAATGGACTTTTGGCTGTTTTCCCGCCAGGTTTAAAACTGGAATCCATCTGTCCATGATTACACAGTTATTCTATCTGGTTTAAGCAGTGCTAATTCTCCCTTCACATCTTGACCCCTTACAGCTGTTTAAACAGAGGTAAAAGATAAGTCTTCTTGGAAAACAGATGTTTGTCAAAATGCACTGAGACAATAAACACATCAGTATTTCTTTAAAAAAATAATTTATCTTCCATGATAACCTAATTTTAATGAAGAAAAGCAAGACAATATTACTTACCGATTGGGTGTTAGTCGAGAGTCTAGACTACCAGACTTCATTGTGATTGTGTCTGTGAAGAGTACATCCTTTGCTGGAGAAGCCAGGGCTTCAGAATGTGACAGAGAGGGATGCATCCTCTGCTGTTGCAGGCGTTTCAGGGTTGCATATCCAAATGCATCTCGAGAACTGGTGTAACTAAAATTATAGTCAGCCAAGCTTTTTATAGTAGCGAGGGAAGGAGCTTTTAGTGACTGCGCTCTCCGAGGAAGCGTGTGTGAAGACCCTGGTGGTACCAGGGAGACAGAATTTGATTTTGACAGAGGGAGGTGGTTAGATTGTGGGGTTGAACACTGAATTGTTTTAATGGTCTTGGTACTCACCACAGTACTTAAGCTCCCACAGTCAGTTTCTATATTGGTAGCATCCACTCCCATAGTCTCTCGGGAAGGACTGGAGCTCATTGAACTTATGCCACTTGTGGTCGTGTCTGTATTGAAACTTAAACTACGACTTTTGAAATGAGTCTGAGTAGAAACTTCTATGAGTCTCTCTCGGCTGGAGTTTTCCCTATGATTTTCATGGCCAAGACTTTTGGGAAGCTTAAGGTCATTTTCACCAATACTTGGAGTACTATCTGCATCTTCACTATGCTTGCTCCCAACAAATGAAGTTTCTAGTTTCAGAGTGTGAATCTTAGGAACCTTGAATACCGGGGTAAAGTCATCTCCTCGTGTAAAATCCATGCTGCTACAAGGTTCCGTTACTGTCCGGTTTCGCCTTAAGCCCATCTTGTTCTCCAAGGAAGACAGCTTGCCTCCTTTGGGATCACTGCTGCTCCTCAGTTTTTTATTAGGTAGGGTAAGAGAATTCAAGATGCGATTCCTGACAAGTCTGCGGGAGGAGAAAAAGGGGAAGGGATTGCGGTCCTTATCCTTCA